TATATATATATATATACACACACACACGTAAAATAATACTTGATATAATAATATTATTAATAATTTGTGCTATAAGTCCGCTTTCTTATCAAATTGGTGGGAGTCTTCATGTAAATATATGCCCGTACATGCATCATAGTAGTTTGCACTCTATTTCAGTATATATAGAACTTGAACCCAAAATTGTAGCTAATTCATGGCTCTCACTATAGGAATTTATTATTATTATTTTTTTTATGGTCATATGCCATCAATAAACATTAGATAATCATTAAAAATCTTACGATTTTCTTACACTTAATGAAAGACTGTTGGTTACATGTTTTACTAAAAATCAACGGTTGCACAAGTAGGAAAGCTGCCGATTATATTAACCATTGGTAAGTCGTTAGAAATAAAGGAAATTTTTCTTACTATCAGTAGTCGGTTTTCTCGTCAGTTTTCGTTGTACTTTCTATAGGCTATCTTATAGAAAAACTCATTACCTCTGGACGTACGGACAAAGTAGGTTGAGAGGGCCACATCATCACAAATTCACGTGTATGTGACATGACATCCCCACCCACGTACCATTGTCCGTACGTGCAACAGTGTCTATATGCAACAATCCCTACCCTTCTAACCCAATCTCTATACGAATCAATAGTCAAGCCAATCCCATGAACCTAAAGTGGTCATATAAAAACCATATTTGAACTATGGTTAGCTACGCTAGTGTTTATACTTTGGATACTATTCCCACAATCTACTTTGATAAAATGAAACCTCATCATGTCAATTAAACTCTTTAAAGAACTCCTATTTTGGCTTCTTATCAATTTAGGACTAGTGCCTATATCGGAATATTTACATACATACCGCTCAATTCTTATGTATTTACATATCTACGACCTAAACTTCACTTTTTTACATACATACCGCCTCGCCTTTGCATGAAACTACTAATTACAATTTGCAATTTTACAAATTATAAGTATGTTATGTAATTTTCAGTTTTTACAAATAAAGTTAAAATATCATATATATATATATATATAATATTTAAATTAGAAGTGTTAAAAGACGTGACTGGTTCAAGCCTTTGCCGCGAGCGATGTCTTTATTTACGTTGCATTTCCAATATTTCCAACCAACGTTCAACTACCAAGTTGGAAATTTGCATGAAATTATCAATATATTAATGTGCAGGAATATATTCATTGAATTTTGGATATTTGTTTATTTATTCTTCAAATTGCTGACCTTATGAGTGGCCAATAAATGGGCAATCATCTCGCATCTTGTTAACGTATGACAGCCTTCAAGAAGAATATTATGTCGCATAAATAGGATCTACGATCGACATCATAGATGACATATGACGTGGTGTGATCCACGTCACGATCTACGAAAAAATATTACATCAAGAGTCCTGATACAAAACTGCATCAAGACTCCAATCATAAGTACGGTTCGACCCCACTTGGCTCATTATGATTGTTGCTTTGACAGTGGGACACGTGACATATTTTTGCATGTTCGCGCGGTTAGAAATGAATGATTTATTATCTAAAATTATAAATTAAACAAATTCAAAGGTTATGATGTTTACACATTTATAATTAATCTCTCTGCACTTTGACCTTTTTCTATGTTTAATTTTTTGATATGGTTTTGAGTCAATTGAATGAAAAGGGTGTGGTCGCTCGTGATTGGATAATTCAAAATGAGCATCGAATCGACAAATGTCAAGTCAACAATAATTGAAGATTTACTATTTTTTTTATAAATATTTATTATAATATTTATTCTAATTTATGCCAGCTACAAAGCAATGAAATGATGACGCCATGATATCTTAGACTTCAACATCTATATATTTACAATTAGATTTTGAAAGACTTACATACATACCCCTCACTTCTAATATATTTTTACATGCATACTATTTTGTGATGTGAGATGAAGTATTTGGATGATATAAACGTAAAAAAATAGAAGTTTTGGTGTTAAATGTAAATACATGAGAGTTGATGGTATGTGTCTAAATGCCCTTTAAATTTTCTATTGTTTTTTTTTTTTATATATATATGTACATTAGAGGCCTCATTATCCAGGGCCATCTACTGTGACATCTATAATCAACCTGAAGAATCCCACCATCCTATGTAGAGTTAAACCAAAGTTTAGTCTTGTCTGTCACGAAAAAATGGATCCATCTAAGCTGAACAAGGGCAAAAATACATCGTTATTTCTGTAAACATAGAGTATAAGTCATAAAATTAATCAACATGAGAGCCAAATCAAATTATCCAATCAAAGAAAGACCAGAAAGACCAAGTTGAGCGCATGTGCCCAATGCCTATGCTCAAGTCAAGATATGTTCTCCACTAATGTAAATGTCTCGTTTGTATAACTCTCTCTAGGTATTAAAATATTTGTATGAATATTAGAAGCCATGAAGATGATATTATTATAAGTGCCGGCCATATTTGGCTTTGATGGAAATATTTGGCAAAGTTATTCATATTACTTATAATAAAATAACTTGAAGATGGAAGAAGTCTAGGTTTCACATGCAAATGGAGCTATATGACAGCCATGCATGGAATGGGGTTTTGGAAGTAAGCATGAGAGCTTTGAATATTGAATTTTACTTTCAAAATATTTTTTAGTGTATATATATTTATATTTATATATATATATATCAAGGCATATGTGAGTATGTATTGGTTGACTTTGATATTGATTGTTTAGATGGAATGGAGAATCTTCTATAGTTTCAAAGAGTTTCACACTTGGGATCAATATGTTTGTTATGATATATAATATAAAATATGTTTTTTATATTAAG